GCGACTGTACCGTCCGAGACCCTTTCATGAAATCTCAGCGAAAATTAGGAGTGTCGATATGACGGAATGGAGCCCTCACGAGTCACGAGTCTCACTTGCTTGGTCAATCTTTTCATTGTTATAAGCATGAGCTGTCGTCAAGATCTTATAGACGCGGCGGCAACCGGTGCAGCTCAGAGTTTATTCGACTCATGATCGCTTCGACACGACCTCGATCTTAATGGCTATGAAGTTGCACGCTTCGCTGGGAACTTTTGCCCGAAGAATAACTTCGCTCAGAACCGGCGGTGCTTCTCCCCAGCAATCTCTCCGATATCTGAGCGAATTCGAGTACGTGTATGCTTAATTTCACGTGTCACCCGAAGCTGTATCCGGTCAGACAGAGAGTGGAATCCGTTCTGGCACGCATTCTGTTCTTCTTTTGGAGAGTCCCCAATCGCTGCGTATCTCAGGGTGGGCCGACAACCGAACTCAGAATTCGCACCCATTTACTCATGAGATGCCGAGAGGAGCTCATCGGTTTTCAGCGGCTCATTTCGCAAGAATAGGAATAGCCTCACAGCAGCTCATCTGAAAGCATACGTCGCGTCGTCGCCTGCACCCAAAGCAGCGAAGCAACATTTCGATACCTGAGCATTACATACGTATGTACATGAATTCGTTCCTCGATTCCCTGACTCTGTCTTATCGCTTCCGTCTCTTGTTTCCTGATGCCATCGACAGGGACGCGAGCAATCCCACTCACGATCTCTGCGTTTCCGGAGCGAACCTGTGAATTCGAGATCTCGCCAGTGTGCGAAAGGGTGGATTACGCCCGATATCGAGAGATTCTGCTCATGCTCGAAACCCACTCCGTTGAGGTAGCGACGAGGGATAGACTCTATCGAATCCTCGACCATGTCAGATCCATTCCTAGACTTGGGTCTCTCTCACCTCTGAATTCGTCGGCGATGAAGGGCCCCCGGCTCCGATCAACAATCCGCGGGACGAAGAGTTGCGGGCCGTAATGAGCAGAAGACTGAAGAGAACGAAGGTTACAGGACATCTTGAGAATACTCAGCGCCTCATTAGAGCGTGCGAAGCCCTCTTGCTCAGAGCGAACCGGTGTAGATCTCGTCTTTATCTCGGACAAAGAACGGACACGTTATTATGCATTCTTCCGCGCTCCCGAAGTCCCGCGTTATGATCGGCCTAATATCGAGCGGTTTATGCCCGGCATGCACAGAAGTATTTGTGAGCATAGATACGCGCATATATTTCTTGAAGAACACTGGCGACCTCAAATCAGATAACTCCCATGAGTAAAGAGCCTGGGAGCGGAGGCTCGAGGCTCAAGCCAGACCCAGGCCACAGTTCCGTGGGTGAAGACAACTTCCATCTGTCGCGACTCTAATGTAGGGGAGATCCACCAGTTATGGTCCACTCATTAGTTTTGGACCGGTCACCAGTTAAGGTCCACCCACCAGTTTTGGACCGGTCACCAGTTAAGGTCCACCCACCAGTTTTGGACCGGTCATCAATTATGGTCCACCCACCAGTTTCGGACCGGAATTTCGGGCCATTTTCCCCATAGGAATATGTACAATCAGTGTCGGGTCATGAAGAATTATATCTATGTCGGAATTATTTTAAGATCCTCATTCTCAAGGTCATAGATGGCTGAGAGAGCCCATCGACAGCGGGCAACTCAGAAAGAAAATCGATCTCTAGCCGATACCCGAACGATTCTCGAGTCCGCCCCCTAGCTTGGAGCTGGAGAGGCTGGATTCGATTCCCCGATTCTCGATGCGAGCAGATATCAAGTCATCCGAAAGCGAAAGCATTCTGAAAAAAAATGAACTTCCTGTGATGAGCGATACTCGAATTCGCCGCTTTTCCGAACGTTGAAATGATTGCATTGAATCCCCTCGATTCTGAGACGGAGCGAATCTCAGGTTTTTGGGTTGCGAGCGGATATCAAGTCATCCGGAAGCGAAAACATTCTCCAAAAAATACTGGGCGTTGTGTGGGTACCCAAGTCGCCTCTTTGCCGGGAGTTGTAGCGGCTGGAAACGCCTTGGAGCGCAGTTCCGCAGCGATTTCTCTCCGAGCTAGTGTCAAGATTGCTTCGCGTCATCCCCCCTAGCTGATTCATTTTGCCCTTACAAACTCGATCATATCAATGATTTTCCCCATCCAGCACGCGGCGCCTCGAAGGAGAAAATTTCTCGCCTATCAACGAACCTCTTAGCTAGGGCAGCGCAAACGAGGGCGGTTAGGCCGAATGCGACATCAGTTCCCTCTAGTTTCGGATGTGTAGATGTGTCTGATTTTCGCCTGATTGATGCTCTGTCCCCGCTACGTTCCGGCTGCCGGGCAGTGATGTCATTGATATGATTGAGGTCCCACCGTATCCGCATTCTCGTTCTCATAGTGATGCGCTAGCGCCCACTGCAATCGTCCCGCGCCGGAAAACCCTGCCTACTGGCCTGACCGATCTCATCTGTGCTGGTTTCTACCTGCTTCATTCGGATAAATGATGGCAGACTGGGAAAACCTTTCTGGATTATCTCGAGAATAGTTTCACACCACTCCTGGTTGAAAAGGGTATTCGGAGACTTGTTCTGTTGTTCCTAGACAACCATCGTTCCCACTTGGCTCTAGACGTTGTCTCTTACTGAGAAAGGAGCAGCATCGTCTTTTTGTTCCTGCTACCGAAGGCCACTCATATTATCCAGCCTCTCGATGTGGCAGTCTTCAAACCGCTCAAAACACTTTGGCAGGTCGAAGCGACAAACTGGTGCGTTCAAAGTGGGGGTCGCTCGATGAAAAAGGAGGAATTCCTCGTCCTGATACGGGACACCTTCGAGAACATCGACGGAAGCTGGCTAATCAATGGACTTCGAGCGTGAGGCATATCGCCCGTTGATTACGGAAAGAGCTGTAGATTCGCCGGCGCCGCCGAGAGAGCCAGGGAGCCCTCTCCCGGGGAACTCGGCCATGTTCTTCCTCATGGAGCTAGAACAGCGGATGGCTTCCGAACAGCTCGAAATGTTTCGCAAACGAAAGGGACCATGGCAGGGGCCCGAAAGTATGCGGGACCTCTATTACATTTGGATAGCCGCCGAATCCGCCCTCCGGAATTCGCAGCCTCTCGAGAGATCTCATGAGTCTCCGCCATCGGCGAGCTTCGATGATCGATCGCAAGATCAGATTCTCGTTTTTCCTACGCCTTATCAACCTGGCCGCCGACAGTTCCCTTCATAAATTTAATGTCATTCTTTGCTGGATAAATGCTCTCTCTATGGAGCGATGCCTCCTCAAACACTGCAGGGTGGTCGGGAAGATTATCAAGTTTATATAGATCGCAGATTCTCCTTGAAGAAGTGGATGGCCCGAGAAACGACCCGCTCGGCTAGCAGTCAGAGTTCTCGCATGCTCGCCTCGATCTTCGAGAACTGGCTTCGACGCATGCTTCCCTCATTAGATTATACTCCAGTTCCATCTTCAATTCGTTTCAGTTGCAGCCAGCCCCGATAGTGATGCTCTCAGAACTTATCTCCATGGGGTTTATGCCCGGTCCATGACTGTCCGGTGGCGACATTATGGCATGATGGTGCGAGTGAACCTAAACTGGTGGGTGGTCCATAGCTGGTGACCGGTTCAAAACCGGTGGGTGGACCCTAACCGGTGGATCTCCCGATTATGGGAGTCGGAGCTCGGAGCTCCCGGTCCCCGTCGCAAGCTCTCTCTAGGCTGCGCACCCCTGTCGTGATCTGATTACCAGAATAGAGCACTGTCTGCTCTTTTCTCGTGCTTCAGAGCTGAATCAATTCCCACGGACGGTGCTCAGCCAGAGGGAGAAGCCTTGCGGGGTTCTCCTGGGAGCTAGCACCTGGGGAACTGGCAAGATCACAGCGCGTGCCGAGGGCGTCGGACATTCTGATTCATTGTGAATTCCAACATAAGAGATACTTAAGACACGGGAAATTATCGGGATCGATCCGGGGGGAGTTACGATACAGATACAGGGTCCCTATTCGCAGTCCACACGCGACTTGACATCAGAGTAGATATTACCGCTTGCTCCCGAGCGGGAATCCGGTAATTGTAATGGTTATGGTTCTGGTAAACTCGTTGATTCTATTCGGCGAAAAATATTATGGGGCTCGCCCGGGGGAGCGTGATTGAGTTGAGGATTCCGCGGGGCGTTGTTCATCGAATGCGTACTCGAACCGGCGACATCCGTCCGGATATCACCGGCGAGACGACCAGTGAAAGCCTAAGGCCAACCCAATGGAGCGCAGCGCAACGCACAACTGGGACACGAAGTGCTTCCAAGTGGCTCTCATCTTGCAGGTGGTCCTCTTAATTATGCGATCAGGTCCACGAGCTTTTCCCCTGGCGAGCTCGTCGATTGTGTCGACGTCAGCTACGTCAGTAGTTTAACAAGGTCCTTCCGGATGATCGTGGAATATCTCGTCGAGCAAATCTCTCGTTCTGGGGCGATCGCGATATCTCCCGGGACTGAATCGAGAACTTCGAGGATGATAAGCAGAGAACGCGCGAGCCACTTCGATCGCTCGTCTCCGGAGCCAATCGACGAGCCTACCGAGTGCCGAGAAAATGGCCCGATGCTCTTCCAAGTCCATCACAAGATCAGCCTCATCATTGTTAACGTTCTCTCGCCCATAGCGAGGTTCGATTTTCGTCTAACTTCGCGTCCCCTGCCGTTTGCTGGAAATCGTGACCCCGCGAAATCCGAGCATGGTTTCTCAGTCACGTCGACGTGCATGAGAGAGCGTCACGAAGTCATGCGGTGCGGGCTGCGCGCGAAACGCAGTGAGTCCTCATTGTGTCCGATATTTTCTTTTCGCCTCTCAGAGGAATCCCACACACGAGCCACCGGCAACAATCCGCAATCGGTAATCGGTATGGACATGGACTGGATCCAGAACCAAGGTTGAAGTCGCGAAGCGATCAACTCCAATTCGTGACTGCGTCAGGGTACAGGAAAAATCATGCCGAATGTAGTCCCAACAGCGGCGCAGTTCTTTGCCGAGGAGAGTGATGTAGGACCAGAGGACATCAGCCAGAGGGTGGGTAAAATTTCGGCGGTCGGTTTCGTCCCGTCCAGCGCCCGCGGTAATTCTAAATCACTTCCCTCCACGTCGGATTGCAGGTTGTCGCACTTCTGGATGAGGCTGCCGTAGCCACGAGGGAGCAACATAAAATCTTGAACCTGCGCACCGTGCAAGAATTGATTACGAACAGAGATGCTGCTCTCCTCGACAACTTTCTCGACGAAGTCCTGGCTTTCCAGAACGATCGCAGCCCGGATGTCAAGAAGTGAGCTGAGCTTGTCTCGTTCGAATCTCTTGAGCTTCATGAAATGGCGATCTCATAATGCATACCATGAGAGACGGGATGCAAATTTCAGGTTCCTCATTGGCTTCATGGAGATCGCGTGCAAGCGAGATCCAGCCATTCTACCGAAGGTTGTCGCGAACATCAGAATCATGCTGGATGAGGAGAATCCAAATGTGCAAAAACGCGCGATACAGGCTGCAACTCAGCTATACAGAGTTTGCTTCAAGTATGATCTCCGACCATGATCTTTGTCGACTTGGGTGATTATATTGGATTACTGTTCCGTAGTGAATCACGGCTTCACGATCGATTCTTCCCGTCAGGTGGCTGTGCGCCTCTAAAGGGACATCGGACATTGATGATTTGAAGAAGAGTACGTGGAAATACTTTCAAGACATCAAAGAGTCAATTGTCGGACTTCTTGATAGCTACAACGACGGGTAATCAGTCTTCCGGGTCGTGTGATTTGGTGAAGCTCAATGTTCTTGGGATCAAAAGTTACAGACTGCTTTATTTTTAAAGAATCCGAACGCTCGTCGTCAAATTCATGGAAATGGTCGTCTTGACCCAAACGTTCCCTGACGCGCATTCGCCCACCAGAGGAGAGGATGAAGTTTCTCTTGACGATGCGTCTACGCACGTAGCTCAATTCATCAAGCCTAGCCAGCTCGAGGAACAGGCCAAGAAGACTCTTGAGAGACTTCTCGCATTCCACGGAACGCAACACATATCATCGGTAAACTTGATGGCCTGCTCCCAGAGCCTGGTAATCATCGCCAAATCACGGTTAGTCAGGGCTGCTTCGTCTCGGGTTTTGGGGGAATTTGAATTTCGGCTATTCTCCTCTATGCCAACTAAGGAATGCCATTCAGAGCTGAATTCATGTCGCGGGTCATCAATGCTCTGGAAGCGCTCCATGCGAATCTACCGCCGACGCTCTCCAAATCTCAAGTCTCATCTGTCCGCAAACATCTCAAACTACAACTCTTCCTGCTGTGCAAACATCCTGTTGCGCTCGGATTCGCCCCGCAATTGACGACACTATTGTCGGATCTGGGCGCGACCCCGCATGAAATGGCCAAGCAGCTACCGCCCAAGTTCATAGAAGGTGAGCTCGATTAGAACAGATGAGGGGACCGCGTGGACGCGCGGTCTAGTCCTAGTCATGATCCCCATCGCTCGTTCTGAATATCGCGATGGCGGATCGATCCGAGGTCATTGAGATTGATCAATTGACGTCGGGCAGAGGAATTGTTCTCATATCTATCAATGGAGGATCTAGCATTGCTCCGAAAATGAGGAAAAATAATGATGTAAACTGACGAGCTCCTCGGCAGAGTCATCCCGGAAGCGTTCCATCCCCGTGGACGCTCCGGTGGCAAGGAAGATACCACGATCATCGCCTTCGGTGGTTTCGGCGGTTGCAGATGAGGAGGAGGACGACGAAACCTCAAAGGTTCCTAAGATGGCGCAGGACCCTACTCAGAGCGCCATAGACATCACTGCTTCAGATATTGCACCCCGTCTCACAACTCTCAATGTCACCGACGTGGTCCTCGTCACGATGGTGAGCTTGGATCCATGGAGTTCCGAGCATAAATAGCATATGTGCTCTTCCGAGGCGAATGTGCGCCGGATGCGGTCCGGATGGGAGAGCCCTCCTTGGATGATCAATTTTCGTACTAACCTTCGGTGATACGCGTTTCCATGTGGTAGCTACGACTACCTGAAACCATGCCAGCCAATTTTCAAGCGACGTATACGCCCATCAGCGTGGCTGGAACAGAGCAGCAGATTGCTCATCTCTCGAGACTGATGGCGACCCAGATGACGGCTCAGAACATGGGTAAAGGAGTCGAAGAGATGATGAAGAAGGCTCAACTGGAGATGAGCAGAGCCGAGGTAAACCTAAACCTCTTATCTTCGAGTTGAAGCAAGAGTGACAGATAGAATATTAATGATGGACTGCAACTACTCTCGGTTAACAGGCTGAACCCATGCAAATCGAGACCATAGGTCGCGCAAAAGCGGCGTCATCATCGACTTCGGCATCGCATTCGAGCTCATCTCAGAAATCCAAAAGCGACGAGTCCTCCCCAATCCTATTGCCGGCTGGTGCGGAAGCTTTGAAAATGAGAGCACGGACCCTGAATCTCAGTGAAGTCACAAAGAGTATGAATAGGAAAGAAGGAGAACAATTCATGTCGTCGGCGGTGAGGAGACTACTCAGAACTGGTAGGTCTCGGTCCGCAGAATTTTCAGATGAAGTCGATGAATGTGTTCTCGAATCTGAAATTGAACTCGTCTTGCAGTCAGCATCGGCCATTCGAAAGCAAAATTGAAGACAATCGCTCGCCTGGCTATGCAGATCCGAGGGCAAATAAGTGAAGTCATTCGGGAGTTTATTTTCCAAAACGTGCGGGCGAATTCGGATCTCGTCATGGTATGGCTGTTCGAAGAATACAATGCTGACCTATCTTCGGAGGGCATCGACTCGAGCTTGAGGAATTACGGCCAGTGTTTACAAGACATTCTGATGGATCTCCTGATCAAAGTCGAAACGAGAGACCGTGATGTGATTTTCCAAAAAATATTCATGGAAGCTCCTGTCGTGACGGAGAACGCGATCGACATCCTGCAACAGTATTGCCAAAATGAAGTTTCTGTCAATCATGGGTTGAACATTCTACGGTCATTGATTGAGTATCGACCTATCAAACAAAAACACTACCTCGAACTTTTGCTCCAATTGACGGTGAACCATATGGAAGAAGTGCGCCAACAAGCGGTCAAGCAATGTCTGATACTGGCTGAGAAATCGGCGGAGATGAAGGAAGCTGTTGAGCGCTACGCGGTCGATCATCTGAGATCGTTGCTGCAGCCTTCTCCCCCTGCCTCCCTGTATCCGAATCAACAAGACGGCGATAATGTCTGGCTTGAAGACGATATCAAGCTATGCATGACGTTGTATTTGGCTCTTCTTCCCGCGAATCATTCACTTGTACATGAATTGGCCAAAGTTTATGTTGACGCTCCACCGGATACGAAACGAACGATTCTGTGGACTCTGGAACAGCCCGTCAAGGGAATGGGCATGGAGAGCCCGGAGCTTTTGCGGCTCTTGGAAAACTGTCCCCCGGGTGCAGAAACGCTCATCACGCGAATAATACATTTGCTGACAGAACAGAGTAAGCGGTCTTATCTGTTGGCTTTTCCGTGCATACCTCTGGCATGGCTTCAAAGCTTCTTCATCTTCTGCTGTAACGTACCTGAACACCAACTGATGACTTTCCCCTCCAGATACACCGTCTCCAGAACTCGTGGCCCGCGTTCGTGATCTATACCATAAACGAGTCGCTGACGTCCGTTTCCTCATACCAGTCTTGACAGGACTGACGAAGAAGGAAGTCATTGCGGCGCTTCCCAAACTCATAAAATTGAATTCGAATGTCGTGAAAGAAGTCTTCAATCGGCTTCTGGGCTGCGGGGAGAATGGTCCGCTAAGCCCTGCGGATCTTCTGGTTGCTCTGCACAATATCGACCCGACTAAATGCGATGTCAAAACCGTCATAAAAACAACTTCTATTTGCTTCGCTGAAAAGTCTGTCTACACTCAAGACGTCCTGGCGCTGGTATTGCAACAGCTCATGGAACAAACACCGCTACCGACACTGCTGATGCGGACAGTGATACAGTCTCTGGCACTCTATCCACGACTACTAGGATTCGTCATGAACATTCTGCAGCGACTCATAACTAAACAGGTATACTGATGACACCCACGCTGTGGGACTCCTTCGATGCGAACATATCCAATCCGACGCTCGCGTCTTGTTGAGCATCCGGATATTTCGCTCACAGGTGTGGAAACAGAAGAAGGTTTGGGAGGGCTTCATAAAGTGCTGTGAGCGGGCTCAGCCTCAGAGCCTCAACGTCATTATTCAACTTCCGCCGGAACCTTTGAGGGAATTGTTTGAAGCCGCGCCGTCGCTGAAGGACCCCTTGGTGCAGCACGTGACCTCCCTTACGCAGCATCAGAAGTATGTAACCGATCGGTGGGGCTGTCGACTCCGCGCGGGTGTCGCTTGATTCGCGGAAGCGCATTGCACGCGTTCATCGGGATTCTCTTGCTTCATGCATGCGAATACGGTCGGATTGGGCACAGAGTGTATTTACCAGTCGTGATTCCACGGTCCCGACGATGAGATCAGACTCCCATAGATTCTCTTTGTGCTTTTATCCCGCGTATACTGATTATATGCATTTCAGGTCGCATGTACCCTCGAAAGTTCTCGAGATCCTTTTCCCCGAAGATGTGGCCTCGAAGAGCAAAACACCAGAGAAAACCGAAACCGATGAGCATCATATATCTGGTTAGCATGGAATAATTCCGCTCGATCGAGGAAGAATAAAGACGGACTATTCTCTTATGAGCCATTGCATTCCTCGTATGGTGTCAAAATCGTTACTACCTCTTCGGTCGTTACTAGGGCTTCCAGCGGTTCCTACCCGAGGTTCTGGAACCGCGGGTTTCCGCCGATTCTCTCGGATCCGGAGCCGACCGGTTTTCTCGGTTCTTACCCGCGGTTCCGAGGGGGCAAGACAAATCATTCCCGTTTCTGAACCACTTTTTTTTTTCTTCTCTTCTCCCGTTTCTAAACCACCACATGCCCCCAAATGAGCAAGAATCCAGGCCGAGATGTTTTCGAAGGCTGAATGTCTCTCTCATGCACGCTAACAAGGAAAGTATTTGAACTCACCCTCGCGATTTAGACGGGATAGCGCGGGATTTGTAGGTCGACCCGGGTCTTCAAAACCCCACACTACATCTCGCTAGGTAGACCCTCTGGACCGAATAATCAGGCCGCCTACATACCTATATTCGGGGGTCAGATTATTCGGAATCGCGAGGGGGCAGTTCTGGTCACTTCCCCTGTAGCCGCTCGACAGATGAGCGAGCTTGCTCTCGCTGCTGGCCGACGTGGACCGTACCGCGAATACGGGGACTGAACTCGGCAAATATACCTTTCTGATGGAATAAAATTAATTCGACTGAGTCCGTTGGCTCCGGAGAATTGGTAGGTTCAAACTTCTCGATCAGTTTCGCCAGGCATCAGTCCCAAATCAGAGGAGGAAAAATTCGGTTCTCTCCGGTTCTTACCCGCGGTTTCGACTCCACGGTTCTCGGGTACCCGAGAATCGCGGTTTTCTAAACTGGCGGGTATTTGGGAGCTTTAGTCGTTACCCCGATAAGATGGCCCTCGCAAATGTGCACGTTCATCGACATTATTGGTCGCGCAGGCATAGTGCTTATTGTTAGTGACTTCGGTAAGGCAATCGACGCTCAAACGGGAGACCGCCTCGCGGAAACGAATGTGTCTGCGAGGACGTTCTCGCGGTTCATTGGAGGCCAATGAGCGAAGATCATAGCTCTTCCATAAGATTCTTAGTATCATATGTACTTCATCGCGAGTCAACCTCGTGAAGCCGAAAGTCTGACCCATACGATAGAGGAAGAACATACCATCTCAGCGAGGCTCTTGATCAGCAGGGCTTTCGAGCTCGGAGACGTTAGCGTGTTTTCTCGCCCTGCCTTGAGCGATGCGGGGGAGGTTTTCAATTGTCGCACAGCTCGAACTGATCCGTTCACTACCCTGTGTTCTGCGTGATGAGTCGGAGACACCAAGCCTCACTCGCGTGTCGGGCTCAATGAATGCGTAAAGAGAAAGCTGGGAATTCACGATGAGAAGCTTCGATCGCCTTTATTCATCACTTTGATGCTGAAGCAACTTTTTTCGCGATCGCCTTAAAAGGATCCACCTTCGGCGGTTTGTTCCTCTTCAGGGCCTTCTTCAGATGACGCATGCGGCCCGAGCCGGGTGCCTTCCTCCGCAAGGCCTTCACTGACCAGTTGTCTGCAAGGGGAGACTCAACCTTGTATACACGGCAGGACACAACAGTGAAACAGCATTTCATATGGAATCTCTCGGTATACGATTAGGCAAGCACGTGGGCTCTGATTTCGGCTCGGAGCCCGTGGCAGTACTCACAGCTCCTGGTTTTCGGGTCCGGGTACCCACAACACGCGCAGCGGCTCTTCTGGATATGATACGAGGATTTACCACAGCGGCGACACAAAGTGTGCGTCTTATTATGCCGCTTTCCGAATGATGAGGTCCCTTTCGTCTGTGAAAAGAAAGGTTGTCAACTCTACCATCAAGAAGGCTTCCTTTCGAGGCATTCTCACGGAAGTCGGTGAAGAGATGCACGGGAAATCCGAGCACGGCTTCCAGGGCCTCCGCAATTAAAGTAGGAGGCGAAAGCTATTCTATGTCTAAGTGATTTGGATGGATTTTCGAAGCCATAAGAAAAACGCACCATGGCTGCCCAGATCTCGCTGCTAAAAGGACCAGAATCCACATATTCCGAATCCGAAACCACCCGGGGCGACGCTACTGCACTGTCCGTCGGGTACGATGTTTCGGCGGCTCTCCGAAGGCGGGCTCTTCGAATCGGACCCGAATGTCGGTGATTCCCGGATTACTTTTGCCGCCCCCGTTGGGCTAAGCAAGAACCGCTCCTACGCTGAGTAAGTAGGGAGATGTCCTTTTCCCTGAACTGCTCTATAGCGATTCGGAACTCCTAACCGTTTCGAGTGAGGAGATTGAGTGGATGCGTGGTCTCTAGCACGTAAGGACATACGATTCTGCGGCACTGGTTCGTGCCCTCTTTTGGATAGGCTGGAGGTTGGGTCAAGCGAACTCGACGCTCTGTCTGGCCATGGCCCGTGCGAGAGTCTGGCGGAAGATCCCGTGAGCGTGGGTTGAGTCGATGGCAGGAGAGTTAGATAGATATCGATAATATTTGGTGATGGATTGAAACGGGCCGACCGGTGAGATTCGTGCTTGAGATTTGAGATTTGTAGGACAACGCAGATCGATGCTCTTACATAATATCACCCCGAATCACAACGGGATGAAATCGGATCGCGAGCTCGTCGTTCCATCCTACAGGGCGCAATCCTGAGTAATTCTGATGAACTGGAACCTGGAACCCGCCTGGAGCGCGAGGGATTGCTCGCAGATGACATTCCAGTCGCCTCCTGACGGTCAGGAGGCGGCCACAATCAGCCGGTTTTCCGACGGGGTTTCGGAATGAATGTTCCCTTCCAATATTATCAGACTGACCTGTGCGTGCTCTCTCGACCCAGTACGGATCGCAGGCCTGCCACGATACAGGGAAGAGGCAGAATGTAGGAGTACTCGCCGGATCGAATACGGAATCTCTTCCAAGTCCGTTCAGAACTTGAATTGCGTCTAACAGCATCGCTCTCGATAATTCTAAAGTGTCCAAAGAGTAGATGGGTCTCGCGAGTTACTTCTCGGGAGATCGGAGTTAGATATGTTGAACCTTCACAGATGCACTCCGCGAAAATTATCTCCACGCGAACATGAAGGTGTCCGCATGTTTATGATAGTCGGGTTCCTTTGCATGGAGTTGCGAAAAACAAGATGCCCCATCTCCGCGGAACTCGCTCCGCTTCGGCTGAAGCTTCGAGCGCACGTGACCTTCTCTCCTGTTGGATAGGCAGCGAAGTCTTCATTCTAGCGAAAACTTGCGTTCGTATGAGCTCGACGCAATCAAGACCGTGCGTATGCTCACCCCTCCGCGACTTCATTATCAGTTCCGGCCCCCTGAATGAGGTGATCCTCGCGGAACAGCCGTCCTCCCTCCGCTATCTGAATCGGTACCGAATTGTTCCAGGATGGTTCCGTGAGTAGAATCCCGCCCTTCACTCCGCTGACAGCAATCACAGCGAGAATATCCGAGGAAGCGCGTGTATCTGTCTCGAGCGATAGAGACAGATGCGCAGTTTCGTCTGCGAGGATCGATCTGACCCGTCTATCGGACCCAATGACGTCAGGGCAGAGCACCAAGGAAGCATAATTCGGTGATTCCAGCGTTTGAGATACTGGCTCCCAATGCCGAACCGTCCCCGTCGGGGTCGATCGAAATTTGAATGCGGCGCGCGTGCCTGCGCTTGGCGTCTGCTAAGTGGGGCCGCCCGAAGAGAACACTAGCATATGCGCGCGGCCGCCGCCATCTCTCTTCTCTCTACCAGCTCCTCGCAAGTTTGTGTTTTGATCTTTGTTGTTGTTGTTGCTGTTTGCTGTTGCCGCCGGAGAAGCGCTGATTTTGGTGACTGTCGAAACCCGCAGAGCAAGGCGGCTCAAATTTTCCGGCCGACCCATGGGAAGACGTCGGAGTAAGCGTAAACCGCCTCCGAAACGGAAGAATATCGAAGCGTTGGACTCGACATTCAACTGTCCATTCTGTAATCACGAGCGTTCGTGTGAAGTGAAAATGTGAGTTATGTCGCCGTTCGAGATTCTGTTCCCGACTCAAGGATCATCGTGAATGGAAGATATTCTGACAATGCTGATCTGTAATTTTAGGGATCGGGTTCGGAACACCGGGAGGATAACATGCAGGGTCTGTCTGGAAGACTTTCAAACTCCGATCACATATCTCTCAGAAGCCATCGATGTTTACGGAGATTGGATAGACGCTTGCGAATCGGCGAATCAGTGAAGTCTCCGCACACACTGTGGAAAGCATTGTACATTGATGTAAATTCAATAAAGGCATGATTTTTAAATGATTTCTCGGGGATGCGATTGGTTGCGCAGCTGATTCCGAAAGAGTGGACGGACCCCGCCCCCAGGAGGACTCCTCGATGCGGTACAGGGAGGAGGATTATCTCGAAGTTCGCAGTCTACAGTCCAATAAGCTCCTCGTCAGACGTCTTCGAAAGAATGATCAGTAGAGCAACCCATGGGTTTGTAAACACCGAGTCGAGGATTCTCTCCGTCGTCGCGATGGGATTCCGAGTCCCATTGCTATTCGGAGCAGTCCTGGGCAAGGGCGCCGCAGTCTCAAGGAAGGCAGGGAGGAGGGGATGCATCAAGTGCGTACTTTGAATCTCCTCCTCATTCTCGTGGCTCGGGTCACGAGTCGAGACCGCACTAAAGTCACTCCAACAATCGCGGAAGGATGAGCCGCGATTCTCTTCATTCTCTTTATTACATAGGAGAAACGTATGTTGATCTCAGGGGGGTCACCGCGAGCCCAGCCGGGTCGCATTCGTAAATAGAAAATAAATTATTCCGAAATTCACGTTCGAATTCGCGGCAATGAGAGACATTGCGAAGATCATCAGGGAGATGATCCCGAACATTGGTACCGAGTACCGCGGCGAGGCTCTGGAGGACCAGTGTGCAACCCGAGGCACACGGAGGCAAAAGGTTCTCGACGGTCTCAGGGGGGCAAGCCGATCGACAAAAAGGCCAGGCAAGCAATACGATGGAGGCAGTGTCGACGAGCGTCGAAACATGAGAGCGACTGGAGAGACCGAGGAGCGAGGCGGCAGTCTGCAGCTGGCTCTTGCTGCGTTATTCTGGGCAAACTGGACGGATCGGAGTACAGCGGAAGATGGGGACAGACCCAAGACAGAAAAGAAGGCGTAGGAAAGGAGTCTCTGGCGTAGTCAATGGGGATTCCTTCGCCGCGGAATCATCGTCTTCAGGAGCAGGCCGAGGCAAGTGAATTGATCTGATATATTTGTGAGCAGGAGTGAGGTTCGCAGCCATGAAGGCACGTCCTCCTGCGATGGAAAGCTGATGAAAACTCCTCTTTGATTCACACATGGCCCTCGTAAACCATTTTTGATCTCTCCCGTTGCGACAGTATCGTATCGAAGGATGAGGCCATTCTCCGAGAGACTTACACATTGAGTGCCACTGAGGGACGCGGCGTCCCTCAGTTCTCCCGGGATACCGGAAAATTCCGCCCGGTGGCACTCAAACGGTTATCACGAGACTCCGCTCATGATCAGATCATGTTAGCTTGTATAGCCAGCGATCCAGACGGATCTCACGCTGCTTATGCAAGTCTTCTGGGTTTCGATGATCCGGCGCACGATGAGGAGTAGAACTTTTCGTAGAAGTGACCACGAACCACGATAGCTCTCCGCTTCGAAGCTGCGAGACTGCCGCTGCTCGGCGGCGGACGAAAGCTCGAAAAATCGCGCGAGGTTCGATGTGACGGAACGAGCTTTCATCGTCACGGCTCTCACCTCTTCAGGATTGCCTCCACTGAGTGACTCTGTATCGCCAATTTTCGTCCGAGGATTCGCTCATTACTCTTTGGACTGCGGAAAATGCTTGAGGGAAATGGTTCCCGGTCAGCTTCGAAATTCCAATCAACTGTTGTGTTGCAGTCAGCTGCCACATACCGATTATCTGTGATCGCGCAGTACGTAAGGATTGCATTCTGCTAATCTAGCAAGCTCGTTGAATGAGGTTGCCGAGGTTGGCATAGCTTGCCCAGCACATCGTTTTTTAGGAATCAAATGCATCTGACTGAGTGAGTCAGAATCAGAAGCCACCATACCATAACAATCCCGCGCCCGATCAGAAGACGAATTCGCGGTTCTTGGTCGTTTACCGAAGAATTGAGCATCGGAACGGGAGCAAACTCTCGCCGATAACGGTCGATGAGTGTCCTCATTGGTCGGATTCGTCAAACGGATAACATCGAATCGAGAACGCTAGCAATAGTGCGCACTGACGGACGGAGATAGCTGCTTTATTATATTATATATATGTATATATATATATATATATACCAGCCGTGCGGGCGCTTCGCGCCAATCTTTATGTTGCTGTATCTACAGGCATTCATAGGAATCTCCATGTGAGAGACTTTGGCGCATGACTTTGGAGTAATATACTTCTGCAATCTGTGTTGCCGTTGGATTAGCTCGAGTTCGTCGCTGTTGAGAAACATTAGCTTATCCTGCGGCTTGTGTTTCTTCGGCTGAGCGATTTTCTCTATATCTTCGAATTCTGTAGCTTTCTAGCTGTCGCCGTCACTGATTACCACGAGAGATCTTTTTCGATTTCGGCATGACGTATGCGAGAACTAATTTCACGAGCAGCTCATGAGTACTCCTACCCTGACAGCGGGATGCGGGATGGTATGATGGTATGTGAAAGTGTTGACATCGTTCTCTGAAAAATAAATCACCCCTGCTAAATGAAAACCTGTAGGGAGCATAGCACATCGTTCTTGAGCAATCTCGCTTCTGATCATGAGTCAGAAGTTCAGAAGCCAATCTCGTTCGCAGCCAATGAGAGGACGATGTATCTGTTTTTCGAGGTTTACCGAAGAACGGCGCATCGAAACGGAAGCAAACTGACGGCGATTACGGTCGATGAGTGTCCTCATTGGTCGGAATTGTCAAATCCTCGACATCGAATCGAGGACGCTAGCAGTAGAGCGTACTGACGGACGGAGATAGCTGCTTTATTATATAGGGGGGGATATATTATCTATATATACATATATATATTGTTGGGTTCGTATGCGGCCAAGAAGGCTACACGGAGATGCGACTACACAGCTCAGCGATCAGTGATCAAGTGACGTGGCGTCTGCGCGCCCCGTCTATTTATTGAAACTCTTTTAGCAATAACGAATTTGGGAATAGCGAGTCCACAGTCCCAACATTCCTACCCTTTCAGCCGCCTCGCACTCTATCTTTGAGGAGTTGATTCTTTGTCCTTCTTGCACGAGCGTGGCAATGGGAGTCGTCGGACGGGACCGGTCGTGGTGTCCGGCGGGCTGCGTATCTCTGGTCGCGAAGCCGACTCGGATGCTTGCGCTGGACCGAACTCCGACTCTACGTCTGAAGAGCCCTCAGGAGACTCCGGAACAGCTCGTCGCCATACCTGATTCCGGTGGCGAATGATAGTTTTGCCTCGTACGATCAAACGCAGCATCGCCCGGCCGATGAGTCCAGCAATTCTCGCGGAACACCGACTCCCATTCGCCAGTTTCACGGAGACAGTCTCCCCCTTCACGAAATGGCGGTCGGTGACTCCGTTCCTCCGGTCGAAGTTCGACTTGTATTCCTGTTGATATCCACTCAGAGTTTGCGGAGTAGATCTGGTGGGCTTGAACGCGTCGAATGGAGTTCGGAGTTGTCGACCGAAGAAAACTTCGTTTGGTGACTTGTTCTCCAGATTGCCTCTGGAGGAAGCAGATGAGAGATTCCAATGGGATTGAACCTTTCGCTTTCTCGTCGGCCCCAGACTCGTTAAACTTCTCGGGAACAGCGAGGCAAAGTTGCTACCTAGCGCTACAAGGGCATGCGCGTTCTGTGAAACAGTCGTGACGAACTTATGAACTTACCAGCCCTGGGGAACGCGGCCTTCGGCCGCGCTCCTTATTGTGGACTCGAACGGGAATCCCGAGCTCATGGCCCGGGTGAGAATTCGTAGGTTGAAGGCAGCGGCAAATCCACCATCAGGAATTGCGGGGGTTTGTCGCGATGCGATCAATTCCATGGGGAAAATGATTCCGTTGTTGGGCTTTGGCACCTTCTGACGGTTTCTACAACTCGTCGGCTCGTGATCTTCGTCATGGAAATCCGCCTTAGATAATCCTGATGATATCACTACACAACCGGAAAAGTCTTGAACGCTATTCCGAACAGTCAATTGAACCCCCAAGATGAGCAAACAATCGATCGAGCAAATCTTGAACTCGAGCCTATCTTGCTACGTAGATTCGCATTGGCGCCTCACAACGGGAACGGCCGCGCCGCCACGGCGGCAAAGGAGACGGAGCGCAGAATTAAAATTGTCCGTAATTTCCATGGGGATTATCGGGTTCGAACTAATACTAAGGACGGGATGGGCCATGACCCCTTATGAATATCTCCGTAAAAATTGGAATATTTCCGGAATGCTAGAAATGGAAAATCCCCCCATATATAAAACGCTAAGTCTGTGTCTCACTCTGTCTGTCTGTAGACAAAAATCCTCACCAATTCCGACCAAAACGTCTGTGAAGCACGGACACCCCCTCCCATTGCCTGAAAGCACATCACCAGCTCGAACCTCATTTCGACACAGAAGTTATGCATCTATTCAAGAGGATCTACTTGATGGTCTTAGCGTCTTAGCATCTTGAGACTTAGCGTTTTATATATGGGGGGATCATTCCTAGCAAGGCTTCTTGCTCTACAGGTGCTGATGACTCGATGCATGTGAGCCTGTTGAGCTTATGCAGGGTCGCCGAAACGGGACTTCAGCGAATCTTTCATCAAGTCGTAGAGATCGCCGCTGATTTTTATGTAGCAAACTTCCTTGGCTGCCTGGCCCACTAGGGATCGCTTGAGGATGCGACATTTCTCGGTCTTGTCGATTCGCCTTGAATCGATATAATATAGAAAAGCTCCCACCCCTCCTAGAACCTTGTGACGTCGCCGTTGAATTACGGAACTTTCGATGCGAGGTCTTTCTCGGACGAGTGAGGGTTCGGAGATGCGGGATGAGGTGGTGGAGTTTCCGGAGCCTGCAAAGTGTTGAGACTACTAGCAGCTTCAGTTGTCGCATCCGAATCACCTTCTCCTTGAGAAGACTGCTTATGCTGAGCTTCGGGGTCCTCCGGGGCCTCCCGGACGACTTAGTTGGGGACGCAACGCTCCCCTTCCCCCCAGGCGTCAATGGTCACGATGACGGATTGTGATCTCGAATCACCGTCGCGTCGCTCCCGCTCTCACGAAAAGACTCGAGGTGGCCTCTTCCGTAGAATCGAATACACGCGCCTGACCAGCCCTCGCTGGATGTACCGTGAAAAGCTCGAGTCTCGCGTCACCGGAGGGTTCCCATAGACTTTTGAGGGGGGTCAGCAAACTTATCTCAATCAATCAACAATATTCGGTTCAGGGGAGGAGCGTAGTGTGCCCCGAAAGACGCGGTAACATAGTTTGTCCATCCATCCTATCCATTATGATTACGATGGATATCCGACGGAAGCTGCTGAAGCTTTTTCGCTCTGTTCACCGCGAACGAGGTATGTTCCTTAGGAATAGCCGAATCGAGGACGGAGTCAGAATCACAGACGGCCTCCTTCGACAGTCGACAGACACCGCGTTGCTGAAACAGAGGGCCTTAAGCAGGACTCATATAGCAGCCTGTCGACGCCAATCCGTGTTGACGCTTTCCCCTAAACCGCGCGATCAAGTTCTACCTATTCATGTTCATCCGAGGACTCTTATTGTCTCGGGTTTGTCTCCAGCAGGGAATCCGGAGCAGCGACTCTCGCGAAGTCCCCGAGGGATTGGAAAATTACTTGGTCATATCGATGAGCAATGTCTGCGAGTAATCTGGCCCGCTGTGCGCAAAGCGTAGCGCGACTAAAAATCGGAGCATCTAGCTCTGGCCCTCTTCCCACCGCCGCAGAAGCCTCCCCGGCTGCCAATTTGTCGAATGCTTGCTCCTAAAAAGAAGTTCGACGAAATGCAGTAGAGCTCAACAAAGTCGGCGAACACTCCCTCCTGATGTTTGAGATTGCTGAAATGATCGAGGCTTCAAGGTATTCTAATGAGACCTCGATCACCCAACTTTCTCTAATTCAAGGGCATGCCCCGCAATTTCCCAACCCTCGCGTCGGGTCCCCTTCATTCAGAGCAAGCCCTCCGATTGGAGCATGCCGTTCTATTTCCAAATGAGATTGGGAAGCAACGGGCTTTCTAGAGGTCAGGTGAGCGGGAAAATCTTGTATTCTTCTGGTCGCGGTCGGCGAAGTACGATCACGAGCCCCATCGATCAGTATCTATTTAGGCAATAATGTACGCTGCGACTTACATCCGCTATCCTAGATTTTCTATCCGAATCACGGCACCGCAACGCGGATTTCGGGCATTTGGATTCGGGAATGAATCTCAATGACTGCACTCCGCTAGCGGGGAAGTCGAGCTCTGATGACAGGTCAGAAAAACGAATCGTGAGGAATGGTCGGAGCGAACTCTTCGGAGACCAAGCCGGAGACTGATATCCAACACGGTCAGAAAACCAAAAAGAGGTGAGATCGACGGATGTGGGGAACGGGCAGTATACAATCGAAGAGCATGATCAGAGGAGGGAATAGAGGCAAGCATTAAGGAGCCCTCTCCGGATTTGTAATGGATCTGATCTTTGATAGCTCAGCTTCATCCAAAAACCTATTCGTATCCGGCGAAGTCTGCCCTTTTTATTCGATCGTGCAGTCGAGCAGTCAAGCTTGTTTTTGATATGAGAAGGTGAGAGTTCGGGCTTGAGGGAGCATTATGTGTACATACATTCGGCCTGCCCAGCCCCGTGAAATTCCCTTCACGCAACCAGGACCTTGACGTGGACCATTGATCGCAGGAGCTCGGCCCCGCCCGATCCCCTCAGAATGTTCGCTGACGCCGGTCGGAGCTATTGAGGGCGAAGACATTGCGTAGGAGCACCGGGAACAATATTAGAATCTCGGGATTGCAAAACATCGAAGCCGATGAGCTGGTAGATTTGATTGGAATCGGATACCTACGATATCGATCAACCGCATCCGTAGAGAAGTCCTGGCGACAATCCTCGTCCTCGTTCGTTCAAATTAGTGATCAGTTTGTCGACTGCCAATCTTGGACTCAACGGGCTTCTGGCTTGGAAGTCCCTGCTTTCGATGGTCGGAATTGATGAAATCAATGGTCTTGCGCTACCTCAGATTTATTAGCTTACGGAACAAATATATACATTTATACAAACAACCGTGATGCATGTATGGGCGATGCTCCTCAAGAATCCTTGACTCTACGCGTCGTCATTGCCCATCGACCCGGCTGAATGGAAGCTCCTTCGCTCGTACTCTGCCATTGGTCCAGATGCCGCGGCAGGTGGCTCTTCTGCGAATGAAGTGTCCGCTTGAGTTTTCCGAATCGAGTCGATGGGATCTCCGAAGTAATCTTAGAGATCCTACTTCTAGCCCCCGCTCTCAGAATCTCAGATTGGAGTGTTCATGGCTCACCGTCAGCGACGTCAGACTTCTCCAAGTTTCTTGGCTTGTAAGCTCGATTCGATGAAGCCCTTATGTACGGCTCATGCCGATCCTTCTCGAGACTGCCAGAGAATCGAGATTCTATCAGACCTTTCCGCTTGGTCGATTACGGCTTATAGAGTTGAGATGTATATCATCTCATCAGAATCGCGGAGAGACCTACCCTTTCGACAGCTCATCTGATGTCTTCTTTCTGTACGATTTCCCATCCTCATTATCGTCATCCATATCTTTCGGTACAAACTTCTTGCGTTTCGTTAGCTTTGGTGCGCTGGAGACCTTCATCGGAAGACGCTCCATGAGACACATGCTTAGCTTCGAGAAACTCTAGGGCTCGTTGCTCATTGTATCATTAGATAGGGTGTTATTGATTACCGTCAGACCCCCACCAGAACGGGGTCGGCCCAATTCGAACGAAATACGCGGCCGAGGTCTACTACTCTGTTTCGCTTCCCCTGTTCGATGGTGATCTATGACGTGTTCCTCAATCACCTGAAGGAACCGAAGATTTCTCACCCTCAGTCGGGGCCGGGTCGAGATCCGGTTGAAAACACAAATACTTTAATGACATAGTTTTAGATACCTCTTCTTCCTCATCGTAGTGATGGTGGTGGTGATGAGTGGTTTTCTTGGGGTGTTTCCTGGTTTTTATGACTGCATCGACTCCGAGCTTGATACCATGCCCGTAATTCAGTGGTTGCACTCCGATATTTATAACTCTTATTATCGGGTATGAGAAGGTTCGATATTATTACGAGTGGCTTCTAGTCTCACTCAGGCTCAGCTCCGCACCACATAAGAGCGCACCGAGTTCCGATGCATGCATCGTCGCACGAAGCTATCGACAGGGTATGAATCCTTGAATGAAGAGAGCACTCACGGTCTTTCGAATAGATGATGAATCGTTTGGGTCAGCGTGGCCAGAATCCCACCATCATGACACACGGCTGGAGTCAGAACACTGGAGAGGCTCAGCGCATAGATCAGCGAGTGGAGCAATAGTATCCGGGAAGGGAGAAACGGCCTGCGAATGAAAAGCTACTGACTCTCTACCCTGCGCGTCGCCATTCGAAGCGATAATCCTCCAGATCATTCGAGCAAAAAGGAGCTGGGGCGGTCGAGATTCGGAATGCGAACGATTACGACACGATCTGATTAAAGCATGCCTGACGATCGAATCTCATTTTGACATATCCGCCGCACTGCGTCACGGAGAGGAAACCGTGATTATCTCGCCGGTCTATACATGTGACTATCTTTATAGCTGACTATATGACTAGTGTACATGTGCTTTCGTTCTGCTTTCGTGGCTGCTTTCCGAGATCCATCCCAGCAACACCGCGCTCCTAATTCCAGTCCTTTGGCGGAGGCCTCGAGGGCTCATTCCAACGCTTTTTTGTCGGGGTCAGTATTGGAAAAACATTCGGAACATTCAAAAATCGCTCGGCGCTCTTGGACAACCCGGTGATTCATTTTTATTCCAGCGCCACAATGTTCCCCTCAATCCAACGCGGTTCTAGCGAAGCCCTAATTATCTTACCTGTCTCCAGCCGAAATATCGGTCTTTGTGAGAATTCGACTCTTTTTCGTCGGACCCGCGTACAGTTTTTCGGGCAACGCTGCGTGAAATTCACCGCGAACAAGGCTGTTCACAGAGGTGGCTGGGCGAAGCTTTTTGCTCCAGAAAATCCGATGATTAGCCTCATAGTAGTTTGTGATGATAATTATGATAATACATGATAATTCTTATCACCGCCGAAGTGCCTCGAACTTCACTTGAGCTTGGAAGGATGACCACCCGAGGCTTCCCCTTTCTTGCTTGACATGAGCT